CTTATATTTAAGACTTTGATGAAATTTAATAAAGACCTTGTGATTTTCACATTCAATATGTAGACTTGTATAGTTAGATAACTAATCCAATATAACTTAGTTTTCAAATTGGGTTAATTTATTTTTTTAGCATAAAATTTTTAGATTAGGTTAGATATCGATATTCCACTAGAATCGAGACAGAAGTCTCCTCAATTTTTTTTAAAAGAATTAGAAATCGCATCGCCAATGAAATCCTCAAGTTGAGTTATGTTGCGACTTTGGCAAGTGCACCAGTCGTAAAAGTAATAAAAATGTACTGAGTACGAGATCGTTCCCACGAAGATTGGTTTTCAAGCACTAGTTCGCTAATAACGGTTTAGTTGGACAATCAAGATTAAAATGAAGAGAATTTGAATTTAAAAATAACTAAGAACATGCAATTTAAAATTCAGAATTAAAAATAATAATTGAAAAGATGATTGATTGATTAAGGATTAAAAACAAGCGTAGTTAAGGTTTCGACTTCCCCCAATCTCCTCTATATGCAATGAATTAAATTGTCAATAATCCGTTCTTAATATAATGTCAATCAATTATTTCTAAGTTAATTACAGCTCAGTTCCTTGTTACCCTAAATCTATGTGATCTTGAAAGAACTCTAGTTCCCCAATTATTTCTCAAGAAAACATGCATTAAGATCAAGAATTTAAAGATTGCACAATTTCCCTATGTCTATCCCTAGATCACAAGGATTATAATAAATTTACCAAGTCAGGGTTCATGCACCAACATCCCTATTGTCATACAATTCCCCTAAATCAGTCTATAAGGAGCAAACTCATAGAAATCATTAAAGACAGATAAATTTATTCAATTATAAAAAGAAAAGAATTCAGAGACAATTTAATTCAAGACATACGATTCAATTGGGTTTCATCTACCATTAACTACATAAAAATTTAGCATAGCGTATTGAATTCAAAAACAATTGGAAAGAAAAAAGAATCCCAAGCCCCCATTGGTGTGATGTTGACTTGGTTACTCAGTGCTCCAACGCTCCGCAACAAGATTTCTCCTTCAGGTCTCTGTGTAATTCTCTGATTTTGTGAATTGATCCATTCCATTGACCCCAAGCTCCCTATTTATAACCTTTGAAGCCATATCTTTTAATTCTTCATCAAATCTCCCCAGGAATCTCTATCAATTCCTAATCAAATCTTGATTCGTTTCTGCTTTTATTTAAGATCCTGCAGATTGGGCTTCAAATCTTTGTTATGATTCCTTTATCACTTCTTAGCACCAAATCTTGTGGATTTACCTTCAAAATGAGCAAGATATCAAAACATTAGCTCAATTTTCAAATCTTTATGATTTCATCATATAACACCTTGAATTCCATGCAATCTACCATATAATTCTTGTAGAATTTAGCATAAAAACATGGTAAACCAAGGGTTTATCAAGTTAATTTCTAATTGAAATTATACAATTATGATGCGTGTAAATATAATGATTGTGATAGTTAGATTTGTAAGTTGTGTGAATTATCATTCCAATAAAAAGACGAGATAATAGTCTATGTTATTTAGGAATTGATCATCTCATATTAAAATTTCATATAACTTGGTTATGTAAATTTTTTGTATCTATCTCTTTATTGCATGCGAAGAAAGAGATCGACACATAAATTTCACATGACCAGATCATAAAAAATTTTAACATGAGAAGATCCACTCTCATTCTATTTTATCATGTGCATCTAGTGCACCAAATGAACCTCAATGTTAAGTCTCTATATGCATGAAAATATAATGATTCTGATAGTTGGAATTAAAAGTTGTGTGAATTATCATTCGAAATTGTATTTTGTTTTTCAACTGGATTCAAGTAGCTAGTCATTTTTTTCTTTCATTATTTTTACATGGAGCGTTAATTGAGCCGAATTGGAAATTAAGGTATCGTCATTTTCAAATAAAATAGTATTTTTTTCTCTGGAAATTAAACTTCAACAATCACCAAAGGCATAAGAGCCTATCTTAAAAAACTATATAATCCATTGGATCATCTAAGCAAATAGCATGTCACAAGTTTCGCATAGTTTGCAAGAGCACTTGCTACCCTATTATATTCTTGTGGAACAAATCCACAATCAAATATAGGAAACCAAGAAGCCAATAAAGTACATCCCGTAGAATATACTATTTAGCAACAAGTCCGTTATATTATGTTTAAACCCTTGTACACTTGCTTTGCGTTGTCCTCCAAGAAAATAGTGGTTAACCCCATCTCCCATGCAAATTTCACTCCTTCACGTGGCACCATTAGCTCCCCTTTGTATGTATTTCCAACACCCTCCAATTCTTCATGGCTCTTGCTGTTAAACTCCCAAGTAATCTTTAATTACACTCCTAGCACCATAAGCCATTCAATTTCTGCTGAGAAGACCATAGCATCCACATAGTTTTTGAACACATTTCTATTCGGTTGTCGTCATTGTTGATGGGTTTGAGTCCCCTCTCCACTTCAACTAGGGTGATTCTTTAATGAACTCTTGACATGGTTGGAAGTTCAACTGTGTTGATAGAGTAATGTTATATCTTCTTAACAAATCTTTATACATCTTTAAAATTATTTAAAATAGTAAGTATTAAATAAAGTATAAAACATTTAATGCATTAATAATTTAAAATTAATACTTTTTTAAATAATTAGAAAAATCTTTATATAAAATTATTTTTTATTATTTTTTTTGTAGCATGATGATATAAAATTATTATGTCAAATAAGTAACTTCAAGATTTTATTCATCATTAAGAAATTAGCATTTATAAGTTTATAACGGTTACCAAATAACATGTGACCTTTACCCTTTTTTTTGTTCTACTCTTGGATAGCATATCTAACCTTGAGAAACTAAATTCTTAATTGGGAGAGTTGTGGCTATGAATGACCCTTGATGCAAAATATCAGATCGGTGACAATTGATGACAAAGCATGTGTAGCCCCCCAAATTTTGGTTGTTGAAACTCGACATATACTCTTTGCATGCATGACTAAAAAAATTATATCGGATACTCAATCGTAATTGGTAGTAAAAAAAAAAAATTGTAAGCTACGCAAAAATTACTTAGGAGTTTAAATAATGAAATTGTTACTATGAGAAAAAATATTTAATTATTACTTCTCGCCTGAAATTGCATGAGCAATTATTTGCATATTTTTACAAAAAAATATTTAAGTTTCTATTTTCTGGTTTTAAATCAATCCTTATATATATGAAATTTCAAATCTCAATTGTGAATAATTTTTAAAAAAAAAATATGAAATCAGTTTTAATATTGCGATATTAGTCAACATAAAGCTTATACATTCACAAGTAAAAGATGGGCGGCGAGTATTTAATATATGTGTCGAGTACGTGCTGGATAATGCATGAGTAAGATTTCATTAAAAAGTTTTAAAGGTTTATTAAGTGATGAAAGTAAATGTTTAATATATGACAAGGCATATTATTACATGCATACGTTGTAATGTTATGAATTCGATTTTAGTTTATACATTAACTCTTTTAATATAATAGGAAGTGAATGATAATTTATAAGGTCATGGTGGCTTTACAACTCTACCAATTTTTTTTTTTTTTTTTTTTTTACATTTAAAATAAAATAAAATAACAATCAGGTAGCCGATCCCATCCTTTCATTTACTAATTAAAAACTATCTTTCGAATCCTACCAACACCATCTGGGAAGGGGCATAAGTACCGTAATTCTTGGTCTCGCACCCGAACTCTGAATTAGTCCCATAGGCGGCTCAAAGAGTCGAACTTGTGAAAATACCGGGGATTCTGATTCGCCTCAAATAAGTAATTAAGATCAATTAAAAAAAAAAAACTATCTAATAACTTCGGAAGCTTAGCTTACTTTAGAGCATTTATTTGTAAGTTTTGAATAAAAAATTCAACGTTTCATTTTTTCCCTTTATCTTTCCTTTTTCCCTTACCCTAATAAAGATTCTCGCTTTCTTTTTTAATTATTGTTGTTAAAATATTGATTTATCACTACAATTTTACGTTTTTATGATTTTTTTTCATCAAAATAATTTTATTAATATTTCAAACATTTTTACATTTTTATGATATTTTTTACATTATAATTTTTCGTTTTACAATTTTTTAATGCTTTTTTAATTTTACTTAAAATCTCAATCTTAATAACATTGGTTCTAATAACGAAAACCACCATAAGAAACCACCATAAATTCCAACTCAAGTATATGGTAACCTTCTAATTCTAAGTAACACAATTCCCAAGTCAAACCAAGCATTTAATATGGATAACATCTTAACATAAATAATGCCGGAATTCTTGACAGGCATCATAATAGTGACGTAAATATCCTGATCAGCCCGAAAGAGTAAACCTTATTTACAATTATGTAAAATCCACTTTTTAGTCACTAACTCACTTTTCTTGTGCAATTTATCTTCCTAATATTCAATGGCGAGGAATAATACACGCACACAGGGACGTGAATAGCCTAGTTCTAGCTGGCATGGTATGAAATCATTTTTTTTAAAGAATATTCTACCTAAATTGCCGAAAAAATTATGCCTTGCCAGTTTTAGAAAATTACCACTATAAAAGAATCCAATGAATAGATGGACGGGAAAGCAAGTAACCAAGCAGAATAAGAAAGCGTTTATTTGAAAACATTTAAATTATGAAAAATAATTGTAGTGTGGTTTTGTTAAACAAAACATAGGAGTTGGACGGTGTTATTGGCGTTGAACAAAATAACCAAGTGGCTCCCACATTGGCTGGCCTTTCTTTGGCACCCACTAACCACGTGGTGCTCGAGAAACACTGAATCGCGTACTCAAAAGGAGTCGTATTTGACGATTCACAATTTTGAATTCCAATACACTCGTAAGATTAAAATTGAAAACATTAATTAGTATTGTTAGAAAAGGTAGAAAGGAAAAAAAAAAAGAAAAGGAAAAAAAGACTTAGAGGAGCTTCCCACGTTCAACCAATCCTCAGTAACCATGTCGTCTACCTTGTTCTCACTCTGGAGTCAGAATCCAACACTCTCTCTCTAAAATCCATTGGGGATCTCTTTGCTTTTTTACACGAAATTACCATCAAAACAAACACTGTCTTGTTACATCTGCACCCAGTCCAATTCCATGTTTCCACTCAACACCACACCACGCTTCAGTTTCTACCAATACTAGGGTTTTCTTTCTTTCACGAACCTCAACTCAAATTCATGTTCTCCAATTATTGATTCTCTCTCTCCGATTCGATTCGGTTAGATTCGATTCGATCTTCCTATGGAACAACCGCTTCAACCGGAAACAGCCTCCAGCCTCGGCGCTTCCGAGAGGGCGGCGGCGGAGGTCTTGAGCCGCGGTGTTAGGGATTTGGAGGAGTCGCGGCTCGTTGGAGCTCCTGTCTCGCTCGCTCGCGATGTTGACATGGCGGAGAGAGACGGTGGTTGTAATTTGGAGGTCACCGTCGTGGACGGTGGCGCCGTTTTGAAAAGGAAGCGGGGTCGACCGGCGAAGGGGATTCCGAAAATGACTCCTCCTTTGAGGCAGAAGAAGGACGAGGAGGATGTTTGTTTTATATGCTTCGATGGTGGGAGCCTCGTTCTCTGCGATCGCCGGTGAGTTATGATGATTTAGCAGTTGTTTCACTTGGTGGTTATTTATACAGAGATTCGGGGACCTTTAATTGCTCTTTATTGGGCACTTGGCAAAAATTTGATTTTGTCTTTGTGTTTATAAATTCTATCTCCACTTGGCTTTTAGCTCGCAATTAAGGTGGCTTATGCGTTACTGAATTGTAATCATTCGAGTCAATATTTTGCAGTATTTATTTATTTCTCTTTCTCTCTTTTCATTTCCTTTTTTAGGGGTTGTCCAAAAGCGTATCATCCCTCGTGTATTAAACGAGACGAGGCTTTCTTCCGTTCAAAGGCCAAATGGAATTGCGGTATGTTGCTTCTTAAACTGCGTTTCTTCTTACTTGTCTTTACTTTGCTGGCATACCATTATTAACATGCAATTGGATTTAATTTCGTTAACCTGATTTGATTTTTGAAATATAGTTCAATTCCCTATGCACGCGTCACTTCTTTGTGTTTTTGCTGGAGACGTTTGAATAAATGTCTTAATTTATACAGAATCAACTCGTTATTCTCTAACGCTATTCATCTATTATCTCGTTTAATAGTCTCGTAGTTATTACATTTGCCAATTAATGCACGCTCACTCCTTATTTTTGAGAAGTTAATCGCCTCTATTTGTTTCGGATTTTAGTAATTTAGTATGTATTAAATTGCATAGCTTTCTTTTAATGAACATTCAATTTTGTGCTACTCAGGCTGGCATATATGTAGCAGTTGTCAGAAGGCATCCCATTATATGTGCTATACTTGTACGTATTCTTTGTGCAAGGGATGTACAAAGGATGCTGATTTTGTCTCTGTCAGAGGAAATAAAGGTTTATGTGGAATATGCATGAGAACGATAATGCTGATTGAGAACAGTGCCCCGGGAAACAAGGAAACGGTACGCTAAACTTTTTTATCTGTGCTGGTACACTCATACTATTTACCCCCTACACTCCTCTCTCTATTTCTTATGTATGCCAGGAGAGGAAAAAGGTGTGTGGGGGGCGGGGAGTTTACTTGATGTTGAGTTAATGATTCACTATTCCATGATGGTCTAATCTTTATCTTTTTTCTGCCCTTGTGCTGCTCTTACAGTGTGAAGTGGATTTTGATGACAAAAGCAGCTGGGAGTATCTTTTCAAGGTGTATTGGATGTATTTGAAAGGGAAGCTATCTCTAAAGCTTGATGATCTCCTTCGAGCTAAAAACCCATGGAAAGGTGATGCACCTATTAGTTGTAAGGTTCAAACTCCCCATGAACTTTATCATCTTAAAGATGACAAAGGTTCTGGTTCTGGTTCTGAGAACTCCTGTATAGACATAGAATCAAATAATTTGAAAAGCAAGAAGTTCAAGAGACAGCCGCAGCTTCTTAGTAAGGGAGATTGCTTTGATAGGATAAATTCAGGTGGTGACAGCATTGTGTCTTTGCCTGAATGCCCAAAATGGGCATCAAAGGAGCTTCTAGAGTTTGTTGCACATATGAAAAATGGTGATACATCACTCCTGTCTCAATTTGATGTCCAGACTCTCTTGCTGGAATATGTAAGGGAGAACAGTCTTCGTGATCCTCAACAGAAATCCCAAATTGTTTGTGACTCTAGACTAGTAAATTTGTTTGGAAAAGCTCGTGTTGGCCATATTGAAATGCTAAAGCTCCTTGAATCGCACTTCGTTATAAAAGACAATGTCCCAACCGTAAATACTTTTGGAGCAGGAATTATTGGTGCTGTTGCCAGCGAGCGGGAGGCCACTGACAATTACAATAAACAGTTGATGTTAGTTAATGATACGAGATGTAAAACACATAAAAAAGATGGTGTGCTAGTGCCACAAAATAATCCAGATGTATATGCTGCAATAAATGTTGACAACATTAACTTGATCTACTTGCGGCGAAGTCTGATGGAGAATCTAACTGAAGATACTGAAAAGATTCATGAAAAGGTTGTTGGTTCATTCGTGCGGATAAGAATCTCAAGTAGCGATCAAAAACAAGATATGTATAGGCTTGTCCAAGTTGTAGGTATGTGAGCTTTGACAACATACGATACTCACGGTAAATTTCACTTATTGTAAATTGCATAGGACTTGAAACTGGTGTTGATAACTATTTGTGCAGGTACAGTTAAGGTTGCTGAACCTTACAGAATTGGCACAAGAATGACTGATATTAAGCTTGAAATTTCAAACTTAAACAGGAAGGAGGTCATATCGATAGATGAGATTTCGAATCAGGAGTTCTCTGAGGTGAATGGGATTTTACTTTAATCATATTTCCTTTTGTGGATTCTCTAGAATGTGTAGAAGATTTATGTTTCTTCTATGGGCATTTGCCGATGGTTAATAACTTAATATATTTATTTCACGTCCAGGATGAATGCAAGCGCTTGCGTCAGAGTATACAATATGGGTTCTCAAAGAGATTGACTGTGGTTAGTGTGTATATTATGTCAACTTCCATTAAGTTTCCTGTATTTTGTGCGAGTTCAAGATGACTGTTTTTCTTGGTTGTAGGGAGAGATTCTGGAGAAAGCACTGACACTTCAAGCAATTAGAGTTAATGATGTAAGTTCCTTGCTTTTCTTTTTTGTCTTTTTGAAAAAAAAAAATCTGGTATAGAAATAGAAATATGGTTCATGATTAATGCTTATTTTTATTGTAAGAAAAACTCAATGCATAGAAAATTATATAGAAATTTAATAGGGTACCCTATTATGTGTTAGTTAACTACATCCGCCCTTATCATTTGAATGGCATACCTTTTATTTGCCACTTAACAATTGCCAAGTGCATTCAATGTGTGAATTTGGTGAATTTTTTTGGTAGAAACAGCAATTCTCTTTTCATTATTTCTTTCTTATTTAATTATCTAAGTAATATATATATTTTAAGCATGGTCAATGTCATACTTTAATATTGTATCTTTAAAATTTTATTAAGCGTATTGTTTGTCTAAATTTAAAACTTTGTGCTCTTTTATTGATGTAGTTGCTGGAGGCTGAGATATTGCGGCTTAATCATCTTCGTGATAGAGCAAATGAAAAGGGGCATAGAAAAGAATATCCTTTACCTTTTTATACTATACTCTCTTTTTCACTCCTCTTCCAGTATACTAAACTGTGGGTACTGTATAATGCGTAGTTTGATTCTACAACTATTCATTATCCATAGTTGAAATGTACGCTTACGAATACGGATAAGTTTATGTGAATTAAACAATTAGGGATACCTAGATGAATGAAAGTTATAATGTTTGGATTTCTATGGAGGCATAGAAAGCTACATGTTAAAAAATATTGTAGTTTTATTTATTCATTATTTTGTTTTATTTTATCTTGTACATGTATCTATTCTTGCTTAACTACATTTTTATTTACCGTGTCTGTTAAATTTATATTTGCTTAATGCATAAATGAATCTGCACTCCTGTGATATGGTGCACTATTTTGGTTTTAACTAAGAATTGGACATACATGGAGTTAATATTTGTAAACAATGGAGAAAATTTAACGAGTGGGTCAAGCAATAAATGGGTAGGTGCACATTAGTTGGTGATTGCTTCTCTGCTTATTTATATGTTCCTTGACCAAACTGCACGCACAGAGAATGTGTGGAGAAGTTGCAGCTACTGAACTCACTGGAGGAACGTCAGCGTAGGCTGCATGAAATTCCGGATGTACACTCTGACCCCAATTTGGAGTCATTGTTTGAGTCCGATGAAGATGCTGCAGAGTCAGATGAAAGTAAGCAAGGTAGCATTCATTTACCCTACAGACCTTGTTTTCATGTTTCTTTTAGCAGTTATCCAGACAATGCTTGTCTCATGGTAACTATGACTATGTATAAGCAGATGATAGATGCAGAACCCAAGACTTGCCCAGTACCCACGAGCCAATTGGGAATTTATGCATGATAAAGGATCATATCAACCCTAATGACACAGGAATTGATGATAGCTCTAACTTAGTTGTGACATCAGATGTGTCCAGCGTTCCGGTGGACATTTCATCATCACTCCTCTCTACAGGGATGGAGCTGGCATTACATGATTCTATGAATGACAAATCGTGGCATTATCAAGATCCAGCTGGGAAGGTTCAAGGACCTTTTTCTATGTTGCAGCTGTATAAGTGGAATGCAAATGGAGGTTTTCCTCCAGATCTCAGAATATGGAGGATAGATGAGAAACAAGATAACTCTATATTGTTAACTGATGCACTAAGTCAGAAGTGTTCCAAAAATGTGTCATTGCCATACAACAACCAACTGCTGTCTTTAGGGGCCAGTTTGACATTGGATAATAAAGATAATAGTCAGGATGATGGGAGGAATGCAACAAAGAACGATATTTCAGCAGACAGCCGAATTATTGAGCAGAGTAGGGAACATAAAGTGGATGATATCGCTACCCAGTCTAATGGTAAAGATGAATCTGTTAGGAGCAATGGATGGCTTGACCTGCTGCATGTTAACCCTTCCCTACCACCAACTTCCTTTTCTGAGAAATTGAATGGGAATCCTTCTGATAAATTAAGGAAAGGTCATGGGATTGAGGGAAACTCTGAAGATAATGGAAATTATGGTTCGAACAGAACTTCTGATGGTCAGAGTAATAGTGGGAACAGTCATCAGAAGCAATCAGATAGTGAAGAGATTTCAGGGCAATCTTCTGGACAGAACTGGAAACACCCTAATGTAAATAGTTCTTCCAATTGCTTCGTTACCACACCTTCTCAAGTTTCTGGGACAAAAACATCACCACATAAGCTGGGATTTGATTTGAGTTGTCCCCCTTCCCCTCCACCATGTATTACATCTACATGGCAGGCAATCATTGGCGAACCCACTGATTTTGATGAATCAGTTTCAGATCTGTTGGCAGAAGTGGAGGCAATGGAGTCACTTGGTGGCTTGGAATCTCCCACTTCAATCATGAAATGTGGTGAGGAATTGACTGACGGTTCTAAAAATGATTGTCTCAGTTTTGCAGATGGGCTTGGCCCAATGCTTGATGCAGGTAAAGGTGATGCACTGAGCTCCACTGGTGATTTACACTTACCATCTCAATCCACAGCAGCAGAGGAACCATTACGGCTTGGAGATATTCATCATAATCATCAATATCATCAAAGAATATCTGGGGAGCATTCCTCAAGAAGTTCTGAAGTTAAGGTGGGTACAAAGAATGTTAGTTTTTCAGGTAACCGATGGGTGTCAGGCTCAGAAAATTCACCCATTGTTCCCTCCCCTGCAACCTTGGGCATGGCTATAGACACCACTTGGAGACTTGGGTCAGAGAATACACACTTGGGATGGGGTGGAATGGATCAAAGAAATGCAAACACAGGTTGGGGAGTAGGACAAAGGGCAGTGCAGGAGAATAGGAGCTCGAATTCATACACTTCTGCAGTAACTTCAGGCTTTGGGGATAGCCAAACAAGACATGGCAGTGATCGACTTTCTGTGCCCAGAGATCGGGGTTTTCATGGTTATGGTAGGGAATCAGGTTCTGGTAGAGGCAGAACTGCATGGAACAGGCAACCAATATTTGGTGTTGGAAATGGAGGCTCATATAGGCCTCTGCCCAAAGGGCAGCGAGTTTGTAAATTTTATGAAAGTGGGTGCTGTAAGAAGGGAGCATCATGCGATTACTTGCACCCATAATTTTGAATTCCACTAGCATTGATCACATTTGATTTTTGTAATCCTTAACATATCTGAAGTTGGCTCTTTCCAATTGTTGTAATTTAATCTGACAGTAATAGTCAAGTGGCATAATTTTTTTTTATATGAAATTACTCTAGCATGATTTACCTCTGTTTTTTGTGATTGCTTATTATCAATTTGTCTGCTCATTTTTTTTCTATTCATTCTATTTCTTCCATTTTAACAAAAAATAAAATAAAATCATTCTATTCTTTTGATACCAATTAGTATGAGTACATTCTTGGTATGAGTTCTCAAATTTTTGTCAATAAATTGTTTGAATTGTGAAATCTCAATGGCACTAATACATTCAATTCTGAATGTAGCAGCTTGCCACATAGGCCTCTGCTGGAGTCAGGTGAGTCAGTTACATTAGAAAACAGAAACTGTTCGGGCTATATGTGGCATGACAGAATTGCTGAAGCTGTTTACAGCTCCACTGTTAGTAACTGTCACATTGGATTTGGTGTTTTTCTGTCTAAATTTTGGTGCTATATCACATAACTTTATATGTTTTCACTTTTTTGAATTTCACATATATTTCTGTTTTCAATGATTTGCTTTTTCCCAACATATCACTTAAGGATAATTTATGTGAATGTCACAGTTCTTGAGATTACTGTCAGAAGAATTAGGTGATGATTATTCTCAACGGTCAGCTCAAGAACTTGCTTTGTCAGAAGCTGTTGTTGCTATGCTACTTAGCCTGGAAAAGAAATCTTCAAAGTCTTAAAAAGAAGTTTCATGAATACAATGTGCATGATACAGATACTTTTTTCCTCGACTGTTAAGACCCACATCAGGGACAGTTCTCTATGAACTTCTCTCTGCTTTTCACGCAGATTTAGTTGAAAACATGAAGAAATATACTTGAAGAAGAAAGGGCTATGATGCTAGACATCGTGTGGTGTGGCTCTATGGTGGCAACTTGGCTTGATATCAAGTGGACAAAAATGGTATGTAAAATGAATCTTTTAATTGGTAACTATATGTGATTGGGCAACAATTTGTTATAAGTTGTGGTGATCATGAGATAGCAGTGTAAAGGTTTTTTACTGTTTATACTGTATTAACATTACATATTAAGAACTACTTTTCAGTTTGGTGAACATTGCCTATAAATTCAGCCTGATTTCTAAGTTACATGTTGAGCCTAATTCTAGATGCATGTATATAATCTTTGCTTTAAATTGTCATTTATTAAAAATTTCATATTTAATCCATTCATATTATTTTTTTTTTTTAGTAATTTGGATCCATATCTTCCAGTTATGAAGATGAATGTTCACTTTGCATGAGGCCATTAGACCATAGTTGCTAGTTCTGCATTGGCTTTCATTAAAAAGCAAGAATCAAATAAAGAAGGAAATTAATCAAAAGATAGCAGGTGCGCTAAATAGAAGCAAGGTTATTGGTGCCACTGCATTCGGTGTGTGAACCCTGATGTCTATTACTGGTGGTATGAATACCTCAATGTCTTTCCTAACTGTATTCTGGAATGTATAATTTCAATTTGATCAATTTTTGGCTCCAATTTTGGGTATCCTGATCCCTGTAATTGGAGAAAGTGGATTTGCTGCTGCTGCTAGTGCTGCATGAACTGCTGTTGCTGTTGGTTCTCTTGATTTTAAAAACTGCAATGTTAATATAATGATTGATGATCCCAGTAAAACAAATGACATTTCATATGACCTTGCCAAAAGTTAGGTATGCGATACCGTGAGAATCCAAGAACCCAATTACCGAGAGCACTGCAATTCAGAATTGGAGTAATTGGTTTTCGTTTCTGGCTGCTAGTATAATCGAGTTAGATTTCAATATTGCTGTGATTTACATTCGGAATTGCCATGTAGCTGATGAAGCAAGGGGCAAACAATGATGACTGACATGGTGACATGAGTGTACTTTTTACTGCATTGGCTCGGGCAGCTGCCTTACTTGCAGCGACTGACTTCATAGACAGCACGTGGACAATTGCTACCCACAGGTTTACCTTTATCCCTTGATTATATAGAACTTTTGCATGGTGCTGGGAAAAGCATCTACTTTCTTGTTGGTTAATATCAAGTCGGCAATTCGAGGGTTTTAATTTTTGATGGGCAGTACACACTGATGTTATTACTTGATATTAGTTGTGTATGTCAAGAACTTCCTAGTGTCACTGTCAATCGGATCTGGTTTCTCTTTATACCAGAAATTTGCTGTATAAAATTCTTTTCACCACTATTATGGGAATGCCGATTTTATTTTTATTTTATTGTATTGAACCAATAGCTGAGGAGAAAAATAAGGTTGCACCTTGCTGTCTAAATAAAAGTATAAATTTTCATAAAAAAACACAATATAAGAAACGTACTATAATGACTGGGAAGAGCTATAGTTGGAAGTAACACCATTCTTCATCTGCTGCTAACATTATCAAAGTACATGTTAGCAGTCCCTTCAGGGCATCACATCACATTAGCCAATTTTTTTATTTTTGTTTTTTGGTAATTAGGGAGGGCCAAAACCCCATAACAAAGCAAATTACATAGGGTTTAATAAACTAAAACATGAGGAACACGGACTCGTTAATTTTTGTTAATAAACTAAAACATGAGGAACACGGTCAATATTTTGGAACACATGGTCAATTCTCGGACACGTTCTGACACATTTTTTCGACACGCAATCAATTTTTTTCAACACGTGGTCAACGTTCGGACAAGTTTATTTTTTAGTCTTAATTTTATTTTATTAACTAAAAATAAAATAAAAAATCATTTATAAATTAATTTTTTTCTGTTATAAAATTTGACATGAAAAATTAACCAGATACGAAAAATTAATTTTGTTTATATTTATGTTATGAAATTTGAATATTTGATTGGTTATATGACTTATTATGAATTGTTATATCTATTAAATATAAATTATGTTATATATATTAAAAATATTATTTAATATCAAAACGTGTTCTAACGTGTCTTAATATGTCATTTTTTAGAATTAACGTGTCAGCGTATCGTGTTCGTGTTAGTATCAGTGCATCATAGATTAAAACTATCGACTGCTAAGAAATATGGAGGCATACGCTGGTATTGGAGTCACCTTTATGCTTGTAAACGGCGAGAAAACCCACCGCTGTAGTTGCATTTTTATCATAAGGGGGAAGTTTTTGGAATATGGAGGGAATTATTACAAAAAAGCCGTGTTAAAGTGGAATTTTTTATTTTCTTTTTAAGTAAAACGTAGTACCGAGATGTATACAAGAAGTTTCCATAGATAGCATCATTTCAAGTCAATCTGAACATGCGTTATTCTTTTTTGGTAATGCGAACATGCGTTATTCTAACGGTGAACCACATGAACGTTGGTCAAATGTTCCCGTACAAACTTTTATACAAATAAATCATTAGAAATATATTTCTCAGTAACATAAAAACATTTTTATCTCGTACAATATATAAAAAATTGATAAGATTTTTTTCTCTCTTTTTCTTAGAGAGTTTCATTTACTTTTTTTATATGTTGTATAAGATAAGATAAATTATTTCTTGCAACACGAGAAATATATTTCCCATAAATCATACTAAAAAATCTAAGGGTTGCTTGTAGAACATTATGTTTTAACGACAGCTCACACAATCCCTGGTTTTCCTATAAGAATCAATCAAATGATATTATACAAAAAAAATAAAATTCTTTTGATTACTCGTCCAAAGAAATCCATATTGAAACCTGCCACAATTTTTTCCCCAAATTACTAAACGAAGTTCAAGTAAAGATCTTCCATGATAAAACTGTTATTGAAGACAGTGGGTGATATTATATCACTAATAGATTTGAACCCATGTATAAAGCAGAGGAGGTAGATGATCATGATTATCACTGTGTAATTAAAAATAATAAAAACAGACTTACTTGTCAGTGGCAGAATGATGAAACAGACAGAATGAAAGGATGAATATATGCAGTATAAGAGGAATTAAATCCGAGCCCACAGAACGTGTCTCCTTAAGACAATTTGCCCCCTCACTGATGCCTAAGGTTGATGGACACTTGTCTCCCAGGATAGAACGGATTTCGTCTGAAGAATGGTGGCACTACCAATCAACAGCCCAAACGAACACAACAAAATGCCAGAGGAAGTCACACCGGAGGATGAACAACAGTATGCAAAACCGGAAGAAGAAAAATTCCGGCAGAGTTTAAGTGCAGGAAAAACTGGATGGATTTCTGAAGGTGTCAGTGTCTATTTATAGACACTGACCGGTCACGATGAACAGTCGCCGGCGGCGAACCGCCGTGTCTGATGGCGGCGAACGGGTGCGACCGGTGACTGTTCCGACGAACAGATACGACCGGTGACCGGTTCAGCGAGCAGACACAACCGGTGACTGGTTCACGAAGGGAAAGAACCGGTTCGGTTCAATACTGATAAAAAAATCGGCGGGTAGAAACGTTTTTGGTTGGAGGGAAGCAACGGTAAATTTTTTTTTGGACAAAATATTAAAAAATAATTTAATAAAAAATTATTTTTTTATTACACACTATGAACCGAACCGAACCGAACCGAACCGAACCGACCCGATCCGAGCCGGACGGACGGACGGCGGCGGCGGCGCGCGTGTGTGTGGTGAACCAATGCTCACCTAGCTCTCCCCCCTACATAAAACATGTAGTGACCCAAGGGCCAATCTAAGAGAGGGAAGTGGGAGCTTATATACTCTCCCATTTCCTACTAATTGTCCAATGTGGGACTTGTTGAAACCCACACACCTCTTCATCTTCCCTTTTTCTCTTTTCTTTATTAACCCACTTCTTATTCATAACCAATGGATCATTGTACATTAATTCATTCATTAATTCCAACAAAAACATGATATAAGGGAAATCATACAATTTTGAAGGTGATAAAAATATCACCTTCACTTTGTACTAGGTGTAATAACACTTTGTACAAGGTGTAATAACCCTTTGTTTGCTGTTGTTTTCTCATCACCTCAACATCAAGACCAATCTAATTACTCCAATGCGAATAGACAATTGCTTAAAATCTAAGCCACAGTTAACACATTTGCACTTAATTTATGAATTGAAGTTGGTATGGAAGACAAACAACTTGATTTTTGGGAG